GGTTAAATACATGGGAAAGAAAAATTCTTAGGAAGATATTCGGAGGAAAGAAATAGAAGACGCATGGGAAAGAAGAACAAATAGTGAGTTAACCAACCTATTTAATGAGCCTGATATATAGGAGTAATAAAACCCCAAAGACTTAGATGGATGGGTCATATAATGAGAATGTCGAGACATAGAACTCCACACAGAATAATAGAAAGCGGTATTGGAGGGAGAAAAAGACGTGAAAAGCCAAAAATTAGATGGAAAAATAAGGTGGAAAGGGACATAGAAAAAAGACAAAAATCACTCAGTGGAAGCAGAGAACTGGCAATAAGAAGGAATGGAGAAAAATTGTGAAGCAAGTCATGGGCCTACTAGGTCAGCAGAGCTGATATATGTATAATTACACTAAGAAATTAGTAATTGCAAAGCACAATTAATAATTCCAGAATTCTAGTGAGCAAGAGATATATAAATATTTTTAAAAATGTGTATAATTTCAACTGAGAAAAGGGCTTAAATCTACCTGGAATTTACCAACCCTTCAAAATCAAGAATAGCACGCTTCAAATCATACACCAAATCGACATGGATCAGTGCACACAACAAATATAAATACCGACCAAAGAACTGAACTTTCAATTTTAGCGTCTCTTCTGAAAAATAAATCAATGTGTCTTTCAACATGTCAAGAACTGATGACGTGCCAACCAGCCAAAGATTTTTCAGCAGTAATGTGTTTAAGTAATCATTAGTCTTGAATGAAAGTGTTTAAGGAAAATTACTTTCTCCTCTTGTTTAATTTACCACCAATTGAAGAACTGTGCCTGCAATCGGCAATAAATAAGTGCAGCAGTCGGTATCCATCTGCCTAACCACCTAGTAAATCGTCTACTTTGGACGCGCGGCGACCGGATCGATTAGATATTGTTTCAGCATTTCCGGTACAATGACATCCAATGGCTTGTGTGATCCAATAAATGCCAGGGGGATTATCTTTCACTTTTCTAAAGTTTCCGTGGGATTACTGCTCCGCTGTACAACAGAACAAAGCGGTTTCTTTTATCGACGGAAATTCAGAGGCTTTGTTTCCTAAACACTTCTGATTGGCGGCTAAACAGACAACGGAATGCATGCGCTTTATGAAATAGTTATATATAAAACTGTTGATATAAATTAAATAAATGTAGGCTGTAAAAATTTGATTTAGAAAATGAAAAATCATTTTCGAAATATTACTAGAAAATTTAAAATATGCAAATTACCGTTCTGTCCACATCCATAGAATCTTGATTATTGCAAATGCATTTACTGGAACATACGAGTATTTATATTGTGCAAAACCATACTTATCGTATCAACTTCGACGTCACCTGTTACATGGGTGTTATACAATAACGAAAAAGTAATATTAACAGTTGGTAGAAGGAAGCACAAAAAACAAACGCTGAGGTGGCGAATTCTGGAAGAAAGCCTAAATAGTTGAACATATATATGTAGTTGAAGTTAGAACAGCGGAGAGTAAAAAGTAAGACGATCGGTGTACGGTGAAAATACAGAAGTAGTGAAAAATTAAAAGTATTAGCGGTATTAATTAGCAGGTAATTATTCTCTAAGTACTTTGTTGTTAATTGTTCTATGTAATCTTATAATTGCGATGATTATAGATGGTTCATGATAAAAATTCTGTGTATGTTTAGCCTTCATTGTCTTACGCTCAGGGGTGTATATTTTTTTAACGTAAAATTGTTACAATTATTATTAAAGATTGCTCATTATTTATTACATGTTAAAATATGTACATATTGTCGTGTCTGCCCAGATATTGCAATAACAACTCCTTTGTTTCACATTTAACTTGTTTTGTCAAGATTACGTTGTTCGAAAAACAAGTAATAAAACATTGCTTGTGCTCACTTTATGTCAAGACGCATATAGCCTTGTTGAATTCACTAACATTTTCGCCCGTGAGGAACGACTGAAAAAAAAAGAATTAAATACAAAAACAGAATTGCTAAAACAGATCTTCCGAAATCTCAACTATAGCTGGATTGCCTCCCGTATCGGACTCCAGTACCTTCCGGCCCTGCCGGCTAACTAACACCAAACCTCTTCAGTTTTACTTGGAAGTGTGTATGTCTAATTCGAGTGAGGTGAGATTTAGTGAGACATTAAATGAGTCAGGTCTTATTTATCATTAGCAAAGGATCTTAATTTATGCCTTTTGGTTAGCGGTTGTTTTGTATTTATATTTAGGTTGTTAGAGCAACGATTGTGGGTTTCTCTGCCATGATCTTTCCCCACAGGAGCTCTAGGTGAGCCTGGCACTCTCATTTTATGTTAAATGGTTGTTAATGTTTTTGTTGTTCTTTCTATTCGTCACATGTTTTGAAGACTGTTGTACGTAAATAATAAAGTTAGGTGTATTTACTCTGCTTTTGTTTTATAAAATTAAACCATAGTTCCCCTCTTTAAAGTTAGTAGCCAGCGCCTTCCGGTTAATTAAAAATAAATGTACACAACGTAGGTATTCCTCATGACGATCACATATTTTTGGCCACAACTACGTTATTTTTTTCGCTCGAACCCGGGGTTGTTATACTGCAATATATTTTGCGTTATTCTGAATGAGATTTTTTAATATAATTCTTTGTGGATTATCAGCTTTTGGGGTTTTAGTTATTAAGTCTAATTAATTTTACTCTGAATTCACCCATCAGTATAGTTAATATACATAACCAAAGCTGCAGATAATCCATAATCGCCAACAGCAATCAAGCTTCTCCTTCTCCTTCTCCTTCTCCTTCTTCTCCTTCTCCTTCTCCTTCTCCTTCTCCTTCTCCTTCTCCTTCTCCTTCTCCTTCTCCTACATATATGTATAAACTTTGCCTTAGCAATATACTAATACTTACATTGAATCCTTCGAGAAGAAGACCCTGATGTCAACAATTCTTAAAGCGTTGCCTCGGAACTACAAAGACAAATTTTTGGCTCACATTAATTGAAAATCAACTCCCTGAGGCATAGCGTTTACAGAAAACCAACCACACTTCTAAGTATCTAAAATCTCATCATCATTCATCTCATTCATTCAAAAAAAAAAAATACAGATGTATTTGGTGAAAATAAAAAATACTCTTCGAGATCTTACTAGGAAATTTGAAATATATCATATTAAATTAAGCTTCTTTAAAAACTTTCTAATCTTGTGTTAGCCTTTACAATCTACTTAATTAATAATGAACTAAAAAAAAACATGACACAGTTTTGTGTTAAATAGATTTTTTTGTATTTCAACTGATAAAATATGTATCGTTCTACTCAAAATAGTGGATAAAGTAGGTAAATAAAGCAATGTAACACTTTAGCAACAAAGGTACATAATGATTTGAGTGTATATGAGATATAACCAACTAAGTATATGTCATATCTGAAATTGCTACTTAATGGCAAAAACCTACTAATCTGTAGGTGTTATGAAACCATGACTAGTTCGCACTAGATGAAATAAATGTTTTTATTTTTCACTTAGGCGATATAGCTTGTTTATTACTAGGAAACGGAATAGGAAAACAACGTCATATCGCTCTAGGGCGACATAAGCGGCCCTAAATATTATCGCCCGCATTTTGATCTTATTTTATACCCTTCTTTTCTGCAAGGGTAGAATAATAAATGTGCAGACAAATGAAAGTACAAACTTTATTAACATTAAGATTTTATATGTAACAATAATTTGCTTTAAATCAATTCATCACTAGTTCTTTCGACTCCTGCTATTAAACGAGATATTTTGTCCTTGGACGTTATGCTATTTTTTATATATCCTGATGCTACAGTATCACTCTTCCATTTTCCATGTCTTTTCAATGTTATCATATCTGCACCTGCATCTACAAGAAGAGTTGCCGATGTACGACGCAAACAATTATCTGTGTATATTTTAGCATCTGTGTAGCAGAGATATTTTGCAATCCTGGACGGTATGCTACCGAAGGAATTTTTGCCTACTGGTTGCGCTGGTTGCGTTCGTTCTTTAATTTCGTTTGATCGCAAAGATGTATACTGTCGATACAATTGGAGAACGTACATTTCATTTTCTTCCACATTAGTAAAATATTTTGGTACTCTAGCTTTTGTATCGTTAATTTTTACTACAACAATGATTGTTTTGTCGTCTATATCATCTATCGAGAGCTTTATCACTTCTTAATCCTCCAAAAATACCCATTACTAGAGTACCCTACAATAGTAAAAACCTATTAAACACATGCAATAATATAGCCAATTATTTCCTATATTACCTTTTCCAAAAGATATGTATGACTTGATGCTTCTCTAATAAATTTCAAAATATCCTCTCTTGTCAATAACTTAGATTTTTTTCTGCACACTAATAATGTGGTCTTCAACACTGAATACTTTGTCCACAATGTGTTAGGGCTAAATGATTCTGACTAAAAGTATAAAAGATGTGAATTATAAAAAATTAAAAATATTTATTTAAAGTGATAAAAGGTAATACATACCAGTTCTTGGAAATATTCCATTAATATAGTTTTACTAAGAGCTGTCACTGAATTTCTGCTTGTCCAAGTATCAGAACGTTTATACCATAAAGTAATTTAGATTTAGAGACAGAAACTATTGCTGAAATATTATCCATTCTGTCTTTTCAATATGCGCTTAACATTAATTTAAGGTGCAGTTAAAAGATTTTTATATTTTTTTTTCTATAACGATATATTTTTGGAAATAGAAAAGCTTTAACAGTTATTAGTATTTGTATATCCAAAAGGTGACAATTTTATACTTGATAAATTACATACGAAAATTTTGATTTTCATGGCCAAACATGACAAATAGTTAAAGCTTACTCTTGTATTTCACTGCAATCAAACAAAGTATAATTGTTTTTGCAGAGTATAAAAATATATTTAAAAATATCTATCAATTCCAATTTTGTTGATCGGTACCCATCGTACTTGAAAATATTCAGTTGTCATAACATAATGTTAAGACTCACTGTCACAAACACTTTTTTTCTGTTCCAGGTGTCATGGGTTCGACATCGGGACATCCACCTCCTCACGGTAGGAAGGTACACTTACACATCAGACCAAAGATTCGAAGCTATACACACCCCACACACCGAGGAGTGGACGTTAAGGATACGCTATCCGCAGAAAAAGGACTCTGGTATCTACGAGTGTCAAATCAGCACGACGCCACCTGTCGGGCATCCGGTTCATCTCACAATTGTAGGTGAGTGACCTCTGAATAAATTCAAATTGTTTTGTCGACTCCATATAGTCACATATTAAAAACACTAAGCATACAATTAGAGTAATAAAAATAACCAGTGCGGCAGCTGTAACAGTCGGTTTATTTTATACATTTGATGTTTAATTTGTGTTTTATTAGCAACTTCAGTCGAATAAAATCGTTTCACAAACACGGTATATTATTGTTACTCCATCACGATGTAAATCAGGAAAGAAAATTAATTTGATATATTTACATTTATCAGCTGTATCTCTTTCTTTTAAATCATAATTTAACAAGCAAAACGAGTCATAAGTATCGTGTCATACACCTCCTTCTTCGTCTTATTTATGCACCGAAGTGCCAAGCTCTGGTCAATGAGTCCAGTGGCGGCTCGTGAAGGAGGACTCTGGGACTCCGAACCCCAGATATTTTCAAACTATAAACTTAAAATAATGTATTTATTTAGATCAATAAGAAATCTAAATAGCATGCATTCAATATCTTTTGGATGTTAGGTTGGTTGCATAAAGTGCATGTACTCCATGAACGTAACTCAGATTAATGCCATCTGCCATCTCTAATCGTACCAAAGAGTTATGTTTGACCGCGCGCGCAATCCCCACTCCATTACGGACTGTGAAATCTTAAGTCCATCGTGCAAGCATATTTTTACATATGATTGGACAAATTGGCACGTGGAGGGGATAGGCGACGATAGGCTCGCGCGCTCGCGCGCTTTGTTTTGGGACTCCATGCGGCAGTAACCCGTATCACTGAAGTGTGGTTATACGTGTTTTGTTTTTGCTTTGGCGCTTTTTAAGACATTATATTTTATAAGTTTAAGTTTAAAATGAGGGTTTGTGAAATAAAAAAACTTGTTATTAGTAATTTAAGTTTAGAGGAAAAAGTCGAATTGAAAAATAACGGACGTCCAACGCCAGTGTTGAATTTAGTTCAGGTGCAGAAAGAGTGCAAAAGTAGGCCGGCTTTTATTCGCAAATTTGATAAAAACATTTATGTTGTGTGGTTGTGACGAAACAAATAGATTTTTTTGTTTTGTATGTTTATTGTTTGGAGGAGGCGAAGAAAACTGGACGAAATCTGCAGTTTGTGACTTGAAACATTTACCAGACTAGATTAAGATGAAAATTCTCCTAAACACAAAAATAGGTTGGTGAGATTTTTACTTTTAGGAAGAGTAAATATTGCTTCTTGTTTAAGTAGTGCTTATGCGGAACAAATAAATAGTCATAACGAAACAGTTAAGAAAAATCGATTGCTTCTTTAAAAAATTATATATATCTTAAAATTATGTGGTACATGTAACCTTCCTCTTCGTGGACATAATGAAAAAAGTGACTCGGTAAACAAAGGGTATTTTTAGAACTGATAGACTATAGTGCAAAATATGATCCCGTTTTAGATAAACATCTTAGTGATGCCCATGTTTTTAACGGAACTTCAAAAACTGTACAGAATGAACTATTACAGTAATCTACATAATTATATCCTAACTGGGTTGGTTGATCGATTATCCACTTCAGCCCCCACACGTTGGAATTTTACTTCTCGCATTGTATCTAAGTACCTTCTGTACACACTGACAGTATTCATTTTGGGGTACTTGCAAAACACAATGACCTTCAAATTCCTTAAAAATTTTCGCCTGCGGCGCTAAGCACGGGGCTGCCGCCCCTTATACCCCCCGCAGCTCTTATCATGTACGTCCTCTTTTCAAAATGCGCCCTCCCTGTATTCAAACCCACGGGCCGCCACTGTCAATGACCCTTATATCCTTGTATATACTAAATCCTCATATGAATTTTTTTTCATAAGTTGTGTCAGTTTTATTTAATTTAATACACTACGGTAATATTTTTTTTTATTTTCTCAATAATATTTTGGGTATATTTTGTGGAAGTACAATCCTGTAAAATTCTACTATAAAATCTTAAATTTCTTAATATTAATAATGCCGTTATATCTGAAAATTGTACAAAGTGATAAAATTGATATTTACGCCACTGATGTTATTTTTTCGGCAGTGCCATTAAATTATGTCCTGATTTGATTTGTATGTATTACACCTATATATTTTAAGTTTTTTAAACTGTTTCGGAATTATTGAACGTTCAAATTTAATTTTAGACCCAACTTACCAAAATTTTAGTAATTTTAATTTGTATATTTACAATTATTATTAACCCCTTAAAATTAAAGGATAATAAGAAAATCCTTTGGTTTTATTAAGTTTTTGAAAGCAATATGAATTTACCCACCAAATGTTTTTTTATTGAATTAGCTGATGGCAGTTACGTGTTCATTTCTCTCTGAAAATAAACCTTGCGTAAACGAAAACCGTGTGAAATCCCAGAGGTAAATGGTTTTTGAGCACGTCGTCATATTATTTACACTCTAAAACCCAATTAATCCAAATGGCTGGTCAGACCACTTCATTATAGCATTAGTAGGTATGCAAAATTCTGCTGTTTCTGAACAAGCCATAAACTGGCGCACTGGAAATATCTCTTTGGATCTCAGTGTAAACGAAAGATACATTCATAATTAGAAAAATAAATTATTAATTCATATGTTTTTAGTCTTAATTCCCATTGTATAGTAATTAGATAAATAGATTGAAAAAATTCTAATCATGCATTTTCATATGCCTTGTAGCCAGTTTGGTCCAATGACTCGGCGAGCAAGTACGAACGTGTTGGTAAGATTATGTGCATAAGTGTAATAACAGTAACTTTTACTCATGAATATTCTGTATTGCAGTATGTACCTAATTGATATAATTAGGTTAATACTGTCCTAAACAGGAAATTGTAAGTGTATATCAAAGTGTACCAAATTGAGAAGTGATTATAGAAATAGATTTTTTTATCAACGGAGATACTTCTATACGTCAAGTTGGCAAAAGATTCTGCAGTTACTATAATAAGAATATCTTCTATCGACTAAACAATAAACTTCTAGGGGATTGGGTTTATCACAAAACGTGATGGGGGCAATTAAACAGGGTGTTAATGAACTTATGTCAAAATTTTAAAGGCGTGAAAAAGGAGCAAAAACTGAATTAACTGATGTCACAAACTTGTATCGGAAATTTAAGGTTATAGAGAAAAACGCCAATTAAAACTGATTTGGAACTGCTGAAATACATGTATCGCGGCAACTAGGTATTTACAAAAATTCTGTAACACTTTTTACGAGTTTGTAGGTTTCTTATGAAGCCGGACTGTATTCGAAAGTCAGTTTGTAATACATTGTTGTAGTGATTGCTGTGCTGTTTTTCGATCTTATGAAGCCGGACTGTATTCGACAGTCAGTTTGTAATACATTGTTGTAGTGATTGCTGTGCTGTTTTTCGAGAGTACATTTAATAGCCGTATTTCCAAGTTTTCTTTTATTTATTTAGCAATCGCGAATATTATGATATGCTCGTAATTTATGGCGAAACAAACGAAAATGCCTACAGAGCTTGTCAAGTGTACCGTGCAATATATCGTGACTGACGTCCATCACCGCGAACATTTGTTGTACAAAGAGTTTCGGACACCGGTGAAGTACAACCGCGTCGAGGTGGCGACGGTGGCCCAGGGCGACCACTAAGAATCTTAAATGTCGAGAAGATGATTTTAGATCTCGTCGAAGATAATCCGCATCGTAGCGCTAGATATAAATCACAGCAAGTAAATATTTCGCATCCTGTTATGTGGCGGACATTACCAGAAGCTCAGTTGTACCCATTTCATAATCAACGTGTTCAAGCGCTTGCACCTGAGGATTTTCCACTACGTCGAGGTTTTTGCGAATGGTTACTTCAGGAACATGTAAGAAATCCTCAATTTACAGCGCAAATACTTATTACAGGTGAAGCATGTTTCAGTCGAAATGGCGTACGTAACGTCCACAACACTCACCACATGACTATTGGAAATCTACACGAAATACGCCGCGGTGCCTTTCAGCAACAGTTTTCAGTGAATATGTGGGCCGGTATCGTTAATGACACTTAGACGGTGCTTCATATCTAGATTTTTTGCAAAATCGCTTGCCGGAGTTATTAAATGTTCGCCAATTTTTTTTTTTTTCAATTTTTTCGGAGAGTGCGTAACTTTCTAAACATTACTTTTCCCGATCGCTGGATAGGTTGCGGCAGCCTAGTTAAATGGTCCCCTTACCTCACCCCTTTAGACTTCTTTTTGTAGGGATGTGTGAAAAGTGTTGTGTATTCCACGGAAGTTCGTGACATCGCACCAACTGCAACATCGTATTGCCGAAGCTTGTAACACTCGTACGATTCGAGAGGATGTGGCAATGTTGCAACGCGTGCGAGCGAATTGGGTACGTTGCGCTGAAGCTTGTGTGCAAGCAAATGGTGGGTACATCGAACATCTATGAAAATCAGCAGTTCTCAAAATGTGGCTATGTTGCAATGTTGAGGTAAGTCAGATTTTAAAATTTTACTCAACACAAATACGTGTATTTACCTCGTTTTGCCATAACGGATATGTGGCAAAAATATTTGACATAAGTTCATTAACACCCTGTAGACATTTAGTTTTAATTTATAAACCTTTCTCTGTGGAGACATATATCCATTTTGTTTCTGCCATTTACAATGCCCTGTATAATTTTGAGAGGATTTTTGTTTCTTTTGGTATGGTGGATATCACCTTATAACAGAAATTACTTTATATTTCATCCCTCTGAAAAATGCCATTACGTATTAGTCATAAATTTGATGACTTAATAGAAGAGAAGAGATATGCCTCATAAAAAATCTATAAAATATAACTAGATTGTGCGACCATAAAAACGATCATGAATGTCTTCATTGTACTTTAAAACTTCATAGAGGACGACGTAAAATTTTTATTAATCGTGTTAGTGGAATATATATATCAGGAAACATTCTTAGCAATATACGTGTTTTGATGGGACAATCAAATATAAGAACCAAGTGTTTCATATGAGATTTTAGACAT